GAGAGAGAGAGAGAGAGAGAGAGAGAGAGAGAGAGATTCTGATGAACTCTGGGACTGAGGTGGCTAGTTTGATGTCAATGTGACACGAACTAGAGTCATTGGGAAGATGGAATCTCAGTTGAGGAAATGCTCCCACAGCCCTGGCCTGTGGGCAAGTCTTGGGTGGATTTTCTTGCTTGCTGATTAATGTAGGAAGTTCCGGTTCTCCATGGACTACAAGGAACAAGCAGCACACCCCATGGTCTCTGCTTTCAGCTCCTGCCACCAGTTTTCTGACCTGTTTGAGTTCCTGTCCTGCCTTCCTTCAGTGAAGGACCATGCTGTTGAACTGTAAGTTGAAATGAACCTTTTCCTCCCCAAGTTGCTTTAGGTCAGAGTGTTTTTATCAAAGTAATAGAAACCCTTACTGATCCAGGAACCAACACCAAAAAGACACGCACTGGAAGAGAATTTCAGAAAACTTGATATATATCAACACGAATTAAAATAACATAGCAATGCCTATTAGTATGCCACAACATATATTAATATTTCATTTTTAAAATCATGAAATTATATTACTTTCATTGTTTTTGTATGTTGATATCAATAACAATATGTGGGAATATAGATTAGTGGCAGAGAACTTGCCTTGCTTTTACCAAGTATTGAGCTTGATCTTTATACAAACTACGTGAAATGTTTGAACACCAAAAGGTTATAGCATATTATGACTACTAAAAGGTGTGACTTGACACCTTATAAATCACACTTCCATCTAATTTGTTACTTGTAAGAATCCGAAGATTGGCAGATGAGAAACACAAGGAACAAAGTAACTATGAAGCAGGTGAAAGTGCTGATTTGTTAAAAACTTCTCAGCCATATTTCAAAGAATGGGGTCAGCCATAAAACTATGACAGATGATGTGACTGCTTAGTGTCATGTATTATGTAACAAGTATAGAAAGAATGGCTGGAGAGCTGGCTCAGTGGTTAAGGGTATTTGTTGCTCTTGCAGAGAACAAGTTCCTAACTCCACATGAGGAGGCTCAACAAGCACCTGTAACTCTCGCTCTAGGGGTCCTGTGTTTTCTTGGTCTCCATGGGCATGTTCCTTTAAGTACACATACACACAGACCTATTCATGTGCACATAAATAAAAATAAATAAATCTTAAAAGGAAATAAAAATGGCAATGTTGTCATCTTTTGTATAAGCTGCAATGGCTCAGCTATCCATGCCCCACAGTTCAATGCACTATTTAAAATGATTGTGTTGGGTGTCTGAATTTTATTCCCAGGATGTGGGTGAACTGCTCTTCCTATCTCCCTCTGCACTGGATTTCCTGCCAGCGTCCACTGAAGGTGAAAAGTGAAACCAATTTTTACTTTTAGTTGAGGCAGAGGTTTAAATGTATTATCAATGTACAAATCAATTACAAATTGACTTCAGAGTGAATTGGATCCTTTGGGTGTGTTACCCAGGGAGGTGGTGATACATACTCTATCCAGGCTTCCTCATCATCCAGGTCCTGGAAGAACTGGAACAAGGCATAGGTCTCTTTCAGTTTCTCATGGTGTGCAGCTGCCAAGCTCTGGACATTCTTGTAGCGCTCGTTGACACCATTCATTTTCTCTTCTATCTGGTCAATGTTGAAAGTCCCACTGGAGATCAGCTCCTTAGCCAGATTGTTCAGATCTTTTAGAGGGTCCTAGAAAAATCCAACATGCTTAGTGAATGAAGGAATATGGCATTGTATGGATCCTATACTTCAGTCCACATGGTTCTACTCCCTTGACCAGGTGCAATAGATGGCTTTTGAAGACACTGACCTTGATATACATGACTAAGTGTTTCACACAAATATTGTTGGGTAAGAGGTGCATCAGCAATATAGATACCATGGCTATATTACTCCAGATTACATTTATTTCTAGCCAATCTATCTCTCCTTCTATGTTTTCTCTTGCACTCACTGACTGGAATAATAACTTTCCCCACACACAACTGTCTTCACAGTGCTGCACTTGATAGTCTCTAACCAACCCATCATACTGTTCAACAGTGTCCTCTTTTGTAGTATTCTTAGAATGGCAATACAACACATCCAAGGCCTGTCATGCTTTCGTTCATTCTAGTGTAGCCCAATAATTATGGAATGAGAAATATTACAAAGTTCTGACACACCAAAACCAGAACACTTTTGGCTTTTTGACCTTTTAATGTGTATCTTTATTACTAAATAAAACATATAATTATCTGTATGTAATTGATTGTTAATACTGTCAGAATGTTGTTACTGGCCCAGGTTAGGCTACAATTGGAATCCTTCACAGAGCTTACATATGTCCTTACTTATGTGTTATGCATTCTCTCATCTGGTTTTATTTCTTTACTTTCCTTTATGATGCCAACTTCTCTATTCTTTCAAAGACTAGCTCAAATTTGTATTTTCAGAAAGTAGTATGTTTATGCATCAGTAAAATAATAAATAAGATGACTTTCAGGATCTACTTCCCAGAGTCTTAGAGCCTATGCTCCAGGGGCTTCAGTAGTAATTGATAATGACTGTCACAATGCCATTGTAGCTCATGGATTTGACCTGGCTAATATGGCAGCAGGTCAATGACCTCAAGGCTGCAGTCTCAAGTACTCTCCTAAAATAGAGTGTCAGGAATATTTCCACCCAGAGGAGTGAGATTCCACCACTTCTTACCTCTCGAGCCAACATCTCTGCTTCCAATAGCTGATGCTTCTTAAGTAGGTTTCCTGCTGAAGTTAAGTCCCTGGCCTGATCTTTCATGGCCAACAAGCCTTCTGCCTGGGAACAGAGAAAAGGGAAGGGCAGATTCTAGGTAAGAACTGAATTTAAGGAAAGTAAGATTGAGCATCTACATTTCCAGATATTTACCATGAAGGGTCAAGGAAACAATTCGCATACACATTAAATTAATTAACAAGTATCTATTAAGTTTTAATCTTCACATCATTCTTAGATATAGTTACCTCTGAAAGCCAGAACTCAAAGTCCCGGATGCTTGTGTTGAACCTTTGCTGGCGACTGGCCTCATTGAGTTTCTGCCCTTTGTCAGTTGTTTTCTCTAGGAGGTAATCCCATTTTTCCTTTAGCTTGTCCAGTTGCTCCTAGTTCCGGGAAAGTGAGAATTCATTATAGTCTTTGGAATCCTGGGCCCTTGAAGGGATAATGTGGGGAAGGTCTGGCTATAAGTGAAGTGGTGATACTTGTATATCGTCCATTTCAAACTAGTTATGCTGTACCTGGGAAACAGCGGATGTGAGGTGAAAGGCAATGTTTGAGAATCAGGGTGCTGAGCTTCATTCAGTGACTGGTGTTTCAATGCCAAAAGGTTCTTGGCAGAAAAGAAAAAAACACCAAACAGGCATGGTTAAGCCAGAAGCCTAGTTATAATTCCAGGAAGTGTGATTGTATTTCTATTTCTACCCAGCAAACACTGAAAAGAGTGGAGGACTTTTCTTCACATGCCTCTGGAGACTAAACTGATCTACACACAAACTTTACCTTCATGGTTTCTTCATTACCATCACATACTCTTCGCTCAATCAGAGAATTCCCAAGATTGATGACCCCGTCCACCTGCTCTGCACGACCATTGACTTCATTTTCAAAGGCCTGATGTTTCAGATATTTCCTCTGAAGGCAAAGGAAAGAAACTACATCAGTTGATTATCTAGAGAAGCATTATTAGCACCTCATCAAGAGAACCATGATTGGACCAAGGGAACAAAACAACCACTGTGTCTGCCCCCAAACAACAACAACACAACAACAAAACTCAACCGACCACGATAGGACATGTTCAGTATTAGGGTGACCATTCAATCAACAGTAAGAATGGTGAAATTTTTCAAGAGTTCTATTTTGAACTTGCCTGAATGTTAGTAGGGTCTTTGTAAGATTCATCGCAGGCTGTGGGCAGCATCTCATTGATCCATTCCTCTATATCCTCGTAGTCACGATAGAACTGTTTCAGGTCAGCATAGTTCCCAAGCTTTCCCAGTTCAGCAAGCAGCTGTTCTTTGAGAGCTTTCCATCTAAAGGATGAGGTCAGATCATTTTCTACTCAGTGCTCCTTTGCTCTGATGCTACATATATAACATTTTCCATATTCTTTTCTGACCCTTTGCTTTTCATAGACTGTCACTTTTTCTGGCATACAACATAGTGCTTCAGTAAAGTAACTATGAAGTATCTTTCATGCCTTTCATTCCGTAAGTCTAGAACAAGAGGTCTCCTAAGAAATACATATCAAAAGGGCAAGAATATAAAGGTATCTCTTTATCATGATGCTGATGCAGACAGGGACTTGCAGGCCTGACCTGTCTAGCACACGTTGGAGCCGAGCAGCAATCTCTTCCTTGGCATAGTGCTCATCATCTATGAGCCTCGTGGCAACATGCTCTAGGTCAGCAATCTTCCCTTCCTGGATAAAAGAAAATGAAAGAACACAGATGCCTGGTGATTAGGTATTTGATATAATTCCAGGCTCCATCTTAAAGATAAAGTGTGTGTGTGTGTGTGTGTGTGTGTGTGTGTGTGTGTGTTTTCAGATGACAGTACTAGCATCAAAAAGTAAATTTCTTGCACAGAGAAACATCTCTATGCTGGGATAGTACTAACTCCCTATAGAACAAACTTTTCTCATGGCTATTGTGAAGATGAATCCTACATTGTATAAGATGCTGAAATAGAGAGTAACATGAAGTCACATTTAGTCCTAAAAACTGTGTTTTATAATAATAGAGGCCTTATTGTGAGAAAGCCAAATGTCCATATGTAATATGTCAACCTCCCCTTCCTGCTCCATCATTGCCTGTAAGAAGCAAAGGTGACCTAGGGATTAATAGTCTATGGCTTCTGAGAATAATGCCATCTGCCCACATAGGGCACACCCATTCAAACTATTTCATTTTGTGTTTTGATTAGTTTATCAAGTATCAAGTTTTCCTGTGACTGTTTTATACATATTTAGTTTTGGTTGACCCTTATCCCCATCCCTTTCTCTCCCCCATGTCCCTATGCCTTCTCCACGTCTTTAAGGCTTCCCACCCCAGTATTCCTGCTTCGCTTTCACACAACATGCGGTCTGCAGGTGCCTAAGGAATCTTCCTTCCTCTCTGATAGACACCTTTCTACTTTTCCAGCTCTACACATGTTCACTCCCAGGCAAATGCACACGGACAAAAGTTAGAAGCTAGGGTCCTCATGTGAGAAAGGACATCTGTGTTTGTCTTAGGGCTGATAGGGCCCCACCCCCCTCCCTGAGGATTTGTGGACAGTTATGTGGGTGAAGGAGAGGTATCTGCTTCTGGAGTGTAGTCACTGGTGAGGGGCTCTTCTTCCTGTAAACAAACTTACACCATATTCCAGGAAACAACCTCATGAAGGTCACAACCCATTAAAAAAAAAAGTATAGAAGTAGAATTAATTGGGCTGGTAGAGAGGCAGAGGATGTCGAGTGCAGGAGTGGGTGGAGGACAAGGACAGGCGACAAAACTCTGTGTGCATGCATGGAAGTATCATAAGGAAAGCCACTGCCATACATAATTAGCCTACTAATAAAACAATGCTTAAAGAGAAGCAAACACAAATTAAAATGCCTTAAAGTCAGTAAACTAGGCAAGGCTATAGAGTATCTGTTATTATTACTAATAGTTTGCCATGGTCCCACCACAGCCTGGGTTCCCTGAGACTGACTGGAAAGGGGTATCAGCAAAAGGAGAATTGCGTCTGACCACCAGATGGATTTCGCACAAATGACTGGCTCCGAATAGCTCAAGCCTTGTTTATTATTACTTCAAAAACAAACATGTTTTTCCCACCCACCAGGATTAACCTCTGGTAAAAACAAATGTCACCCCCCCCCAACTTTTACATCAAAATAATTTTAAACTAAAAACAATGCTCAGTATTTTGTTAGCTTAGCTAACTATTGAGCCAGGCATATCCTGTCCTTACAAAGCAAAAATAGACATGCATTCTCCAGAACAACAATATCACTCAAATCTTAATGAAGCATATTTATAGAAATGGGCATGATTGGCCATAAACTGCTTGCATACAGTTAGCTTGTATTTCTCTGACCTCTTGTCCTATGAAAGGGTCCTGCATGCCTAAGCCTATAAGAAACCTGAGAGGAATCAGAATTTTAGGGGGGATATTTGAGAAGAAAGTGGGGTTTCTAGGAATGATCATATCTGTCCCATGAGTGACTGACAAAGTGAAACTAAAAACTGCCAAGAGTATCATCAACCTTATGACAGAGAAGAGAGCCTTCAGGCCACGTGGTCCTAGAAGTATTCTGCACTGTTTGGAGGTCTCCTGGTCTTTGCCAAGTGAGAGACCATCTCCAAAAGGTTTGCCTCTTAGAGACCCATTGGACAATCATTTATATGCTGATCTGAAATTAGGCCATGTGGCTCCTAACAATAGTTAGTACTGAAATTTTTGTATTGATTATTACCTGGGCAGCGATTGCTTTCTCCAAATCATCCCGTTTCTTCATCAAAGCTTGCAGACTGTTCAAGTGATCCCTGTCGTCTGACCTCAGGGAGTTCTCTCGAGCCACCATCCAACTCTCAACCTGTTCACAGTTCCCTCGGAACAACTGTGGGGCGGAGTAGGGGAAACCAAAGGCATGGATATGGTTATTCTACAAGGGCTAAGGAAATAATTTTGTCCCTCCTCAGTGGTGATGACACAAAGCATCTTTGCAGGGCTGGTGTTCTCTCATGAAGCAATCTTTTAATTAAATCTTAAATATACTGTCACTTTACTTTTTACTTCAAACACACCTTACATGTTTTATAAGCTGCAGTAAATGTAGTAAATGTGAGGTTTCTGTCTCATGTGGTACGTATAGTAGCTACCGACTGGCTATCTCTCCTTTCTCTCTGCCCCCTCTCTTAAAATTCAAGACAGTCTCTTAGGTAGTCTAGGATGACATCAAATTCAGTATGCAGTAGAAGTTAAGCATGAAATACTGATCTACGTTCTGAGATTTTCAATTCATCTGGCCTTCAGCTGGTTACTTCTTCACAACGTGGTCAAATATTACCCACAGATGTGTCTCATAGTTCCATATACTTCACTCATTGTGATCACACCTTCCTTTTTATCCTCAAAGCATCCATACATTCTATCTTACTAGTAAACATCTCCTATATTAGAATGATCTGTGCTTCTTATATAAAGAAACACACTGTGATGATCTTTGTAGTACTAGGACCTGGACATAGCAGTTCTTAATGAAAACCAGTCCTTCAGTTAATTACCTAATGGTAATTGATGATAATCATCCCATTCATGTACAAGACTGATTACCATCTTCTTTTACTCTCTCCTTAAAAATGCTTTTAATTTTCAAAATTTTATATATTTATTATTGTTAGTAGTAGTAGTAGCACGTCTGTGTGTGCATGTATGAGAGAGGGTATGGGGGGGATTCCATGGTGTGCATGTGAAAGCCAGTGGACAACTTACTGGAGTCAGCTCTTCCCTCTACATGTGTTTTGGAATGCAACTCAGGTCATTAGGCTTGTTCAGCAAATACCTTTACCCACTGAGCCATTTCGTAGGTACTTGTTTGTCTCTTTTAACAGGAACAAGAACATAGAACATAAGGATGCTTAGTTTACAACAGAGTACAGTGGGAAACAATCAAGAGACACTGGTGTTTACAGCTCATAGAGTCTAAAGCAGTGAGTGCCCCCAATCAGCCTATAAACCCACTCTCCAGGACCTGGGGCTAAATTGCAACTATCCAGAAGATGCTATACCTGAAGTTCTAAGCACTGGTCTAGCATCTTCTTGCGGTTTTCCCAACCCTTCTCCAACTCGTCTCTCTTTATTTTAATATCATGAAGAGTATTTTCAATTTCAAAGCTGTTACGGTGGCCTCTGTCTATAAGTTCTGTGCCAAAATCCTCTAAGGCCTGGAAGGTGGGGTCCTCTGCTTTCATGTCATCATGATGTTCCTGTGGGAAAAGTAGGAAAGGTGATTGTGACTACTGCAGGAACTTCTGAAGTGACAAGAGAGGTTTACATCAGTGGTTAGTAGCTGTACCTGGTGTCGCTCCAGCAGGATCTCTGTGCCAGTTAAGTCCTCAGCCAGCTCAGGTGATGATATTATGCCACCAATGGCTTTGATCCAATTCTCTAGATCACTGTAGAAGTAAATGTATTAGAATCAATCATGGCTATCTTAATTCTTCTCTGCCCCCATCAGAAAGAAAACCCATGCTCCAAACTCGTCTCCTGGCAACACCTAGTGTTTATATGTGCTTTATAGAAGCTTTCTTAGTTGGCCTATTTACATCACATTCCATTGAGCAACAGTATTTTCGGGCTTGAAGCATTAAACCTGCTTTACTTTTTTCCCTATTCTGTGCCTCCCAGGAGATGACACTTGGACATAGTCTGCATAACCCAGCAATGAATAACACGTGTACCCAGGCTATTCCTAGGGACTCTGCACAGGGCAGTGTGTAGAAACTTCCCATCCTGCCTGGTGAATGTCAGCCTTTTGAGCTGTACCTGGCCTTGCTGAGGAAGAGGAAGAATTTGTGGGCCTCATTCAGACTCTCCTTCCTGTCATTTGTAAGATCTTGTAGGGTAGCCCAGGCCTCGTTCAGCTCTGTTTTCTTCTTCTGCAGGTCCTCAGTGGCATCCGGGTGGGACTCACAGAGACGATCAGCTGTCTCCCCCAATGTGGTCACCTGGACAAAGAGAAGCCTTCTGATAACCACATGGTAGTTTCTGAACTGGACAAAATTACCTTTGCTGTTTTTGTTTGTTTGTTTGTTTTAAGAAGTTATAGGGAAGATGGGACGAGTGACCCTACTCCTCAGTGGTACATCAATCCTGGAACCCGCTGGGTCTTAATTCTTCATATGAAGACATTCTTTGTGCCCTGTATGATGATGCTTAGCTGTAGGTTTCTTCCAGCATATCTGGAAAGTTTTAGTCTTCCCTTTTTGGCTTTGAGATAGGAATAGTCTTATTAATTACTGACTGAGGGAACACTTCCCAATATCTAGAAATAGTCTGACCCTACTGGATGTGGATATTCATTTTCTCCTCCACATTTGTTTCCACAATAGACCAAAAGTCTAAGTCACTTGGCATTCTCAAAAGATGTAAAGGGATAGAAAGCCTTCATTGAGACAGTAAAAGTTCAGTATTGGTCATGGGAACATGATATTTTAATGTCTTTTTTTCCTGAGAGAGAGTGCACAAAAATTAGTATACTGCAAGATTTAGAAAGAGAATAAGAACAATGGTTTTGGCAAGAGAACCAAAGGCACACTGCTACAGGAATAAACTTGAAGAAAGCATTGAGAAAGGTTGAAAACATGTCTCACCTTTTCTCCCAGGGGGATGATGTCTCTCTCAAAGACCTCATGCTGCCTCTGAAGGGCCTGGACACTGAGCAGGTCAGAGCCAGGGTCAGCAGCAGTAAGAGCCCGGCATTTCTTATCAATCTGCTCCTTGATGTCATCTGCCTCTCTGGAACACAAAAGAGTGAAGAATACAAGAGTAATGATAAGCCTTACAAGGCTGGCTCACAAAGAAGCCGTGCCCTCATCGCCTTCAGCACCCTTCTCATCCTTGTGATATACTGGCATCTAGGCTGCATGGACATAGAGCCATAGATGCTGTAATTATTTCCATCCTGTGTATCAGCAAATAGAAGTTTAAGGATTTCTCAAGATGATGTCACTGCCAAAAGGTAGAGCCCATGTTTGAACCTGGTATACCAACTACAGAGTTACATGGTTCAACAATACTTTTCCTGCCTTTGCATTGTAAGTCATTCTAAACAGAAGAATAAATAAACAGAAAAGGTAGAGGTATGAGATCTGTTGCCATTTACTTTCCTTTTTATATATTTTTCTTTTTGTTTATTCTTCTCCCATACTATACATCCTGAACACAGCTTTCCTGCATCCCTCCATCCCTCCTCCCTTTTTGCTCAAGATCTACTTCTCCACCATTTCCCTTCAAAAATGATCAGGCCTCCCAGAGATAGCAAGCACTCTTAATCTACTCCTGCAGCCTTTTAAATGCTTCATTCTCACATGCACATCTATACTGAGAACATAATGACCTAAGCCCAGTCTATCCTTCTCTATTATAGAACCGTATCTAAATTTCAAATTATGTGCCATGACTAATTGAATATTGAACTTGGTTATATTGGTTATATTGGGGTGTCCAGTGTATCAGGTGAGGAAAATTTGCTGGAAAAATCTATTCTGTTAGTAAACTGTCTCTTTTTTGAGGAAGAGGGTTGTACACTATCATCTCTTCTCCATAGTGACTTGACTTAAGAGCCCTGTGACATGGCTGTAGCGGAGCAGTACCATCTAAGTGTTAAGATGCTTACCTGTGAAACATCTCAACAGCATGGGCACTGCTTAGCAGTTGATTCTGTTCATCTGCCAGCCTCTTCAAGGAATGCCAGCGGGTGTTCAACTCCTTAAAGAAGTAGACATATGGATTTAGTCAGCGAGCTAGCTCAGACAGCTTAGTATTGGCATGTCACCTCCTGTTTTTCTGGTAGCCCTTCAGAACGAACACAGCTCTGCTTCTCTCTTGCATAGTTTTAAGAAAGTGCCTCAGAGGAAGGGTTTTCCTTTCTTCCCAACTGATATTATATGTAGGACTGTTTGTTCTAGGACAACATTGTCACAAAGGGTCCATTACAACCTCCAAAAATGAGTTAAAGTGTTGACTTGGTAGTCAGATGTTGGCACATTTATTGAGGCCAATAACAGCTTTAGAGCTAGTAGCCTTTTAATGCCGTACTTGCTTCCTGTGGGATATAAGCACAGTGTTTTCATATATCTTCCTTCTATGTCCAATTCCAAGAAAGCTACCATAAGAAAGAGGAAGTGAAGTAATCCTTACTGCTTTATGAAAACCAAGATTTGCAAGTCTGGTCTTTGCAATAAATGTTCACCAAACCCATAATGGACACAATGTGGTCTAGATACAATGTGGATGAAGAACCCCCATTTCCATCTCTAAAAATGATGGGAGAGACATTTAAATTCTCCTTCATTATGATTATCAAAACCAGTCTTTTCCAGTAAACTTCCTTGAATAACCTTTTCCCACAATCACCGATCTCTTATGTGTACTATCTTTGCTTTCTTATGTCTGAGCACTGAATTTTTAATGTGTAGTAGGCATTAAGAGGTAGGTGAGTATAGGTCAATTTTAAAGGATCTCAGGCTAGTTAAATTGCATATAGTTTACAACTTCAACATAAACTATCTAACTTTGGGTAAGGTCAGAAGATAGGAATTTTATGATCCATTTGATGGAACATAGCAATACAAGTTAAAAGGAAATTTAAAGATTATTTCATCGAGTTCCTTACAAATTAAGCAATCTTTACAAAGAACACATAGACAGAGTAAAGCCAAGACTAAATACAACTTTCCTGATTCCCAGTGCAATATCTTCTAAACTTCCTTTTTCGGTGTGTGTGTGTGTGTGTGTGTGTGTGTGTGTGTGTGTGTGTGTGTGTGTGTGTGTGTGTGTGTGTGTGTGTGTGTGCACGTGAGTATACATGTGCATTTGCAGGCCACAGGTTGATGTCAGGTGTCTTCTTCAATTACTCCCCAATTACTTTTTTTGAGACAGGATCTCTCACTGAACTCAGATGTCATCAATTTGGCTAGACAAGCAAGCTCTGGGAGCCTTTTGTGTCCACCCATGCTCTCCTAGTGTTGGGACTAAAACCATGTTTGTTTTTTGGTGCTTGGTTGTTAAATTCTGAGGATCCAAAATTAGGTCTTCATGATTTGTTCAATACATCCTTTATCAATGGAACATCTTTGTAATCCCTACACATCCTAATACTGCCTCTTGAAGCTAAATATGAATTTATTGTCTGAGAATTTTTTGTCCTCCACACTCCAAAAGTTATGTGTGAGAACACAGAAGACATTTGGAAAATGTCACTAAGTAAATCGGCTTTACTGAAGTTCTCTGAAACAATAAAAATGGCTGGCCTTTTCTACAGTCTCACACTGCCCTTGCCTTCTGGTCTTTAGAATGAATATGAAGTTGAATCAACCAATGTAAACCGAGGACCTCAGAGCCAAGCCTGTCGTTAAGGAGGAATGGAGGGAGACTGCGATTACCTGGCGTATGTGAGCACCTTCTGGTGTTAGAAGATCTTCAAACAGCAGTTCATCTGCCACCTTGTTGATATCCTTTAGCCGAGGCTCATTGCTCTTCAGATCCTAGACAAGAACATTCATCCAAAGTACTACAAATCTTTTTCTTTGACCTTCCGTACATGCCTGTCATCTAGGCCCACATTTAGTTAAGTGTTACTAAATTAAATGGTTACTATCAGTTATCATACATATATTGCTCTCAAATTTGTCACTGCACTGTGTCCTTAAACACTGTGACACCAAACAACCAACCAAAACTTGCCAGAACTATCATTTACTTGGAATCAGAAGTGTATCTCTTTATCTCAAATTCCTTAAATTATTTTCCATGTGTTAATTTATATTATCAAAACATTTTCTACCTCAAGTATATGTCTACATGCCAATATATATGTTTATCTCCACAAGGAGAATAACAAAAGGAAAAGAGAGTAAGAAGCAGATTTATACCTTGTGTTATTTGAGATATAGAATTAATATGAGTGAAGAAAAAATTGATGAGCGGGTTCTCAGGAGGTAAATAGTAATTTTCTGGCCGTGAAAACAGGTCACGTCTCTTCCAACCTCAACTGATGCTTCATATTTTGAGTCCACATGAGTCCTGTGACACCCCATCATCATTTAACAAATATGAAACAAACACATCCAAAATAGACATCTAAGCAATCCCCTTGCTTACCCTCTGAAATTCATCAAACTTCTTCTGCAGCTCCCAGACATCATCCAGTTCTACCCCAGTGTTCTCTGCCTTTTTCTCTTGGATCCACTCCAGCATGTCTCCCGCCTCATAGGCCAGCAGAAATTCATTGTAACGTTGCAGCAGGCGACGTCTTCGTTCCTCTGCTCGATCCAGGAGGGAGTGGTACCTTCGTGGAGGAATAAAGAAGAAGGTAATATAATGGGTGGAAAAACATTGAAAGCATAACAGATTAGGGCGAGGGTGAGAAAACTAGAGGAGGAAATGGAGGGAAAGGAAAAGAAGAATAAATTAAAATGAGATCAGTAAAAAAAAGAAGAGAAATTTAATGGAAATAAAACAGACATTAAGAGCAGATGGATGAATAATATTATATTTAAACATTTAAGTGTCTCCTGCACCCAATGCTCAGGGAACATCCTGGAAGAGACAGCAGAAAGATTGTAAGAACCAGAGGATGGGGAAGCCTTCTCGAAATAATATCTTCTAGAAATAGCTTCCCAAACCAGACCTGAACAATAACACTATCGATTGACATGCTAACACAGAAGGGAAAAAAATCTCAGAGTCACACCCTAAGACAAAGAACTACAGCAACTCATGACAGCTCAGAGAGGGAGGATTAATTAGCCTTGTCCAGGGAAAAGCCTCTTCATTGGCTATCCAGTATAAAATGGTCATCCATGAAATCATACACACACTGCAAAATATATCTAGCAGGTTTTACTTACATGTTTTCACATCTACCTGTTATCTATATAGCTATAATCAAAGAAAAATAGGACATCAGTTTGAAAAAGACAGATAGGAGGACATGGAGAAGTTAGAGGGGAAAGGGCATGAAATTGTGTAATTACATTTTAATTAAATATCTTTAAAGTATCAGTGGATGAAGAAAATGTCTTTTGTCATCACTTTCTTGTTATAGAAGAGAGAAGTTGTACATGGCAGCTAGATATGAAAGAGTATATAACATTCTTATGAATGTCCCCGGACTTAGAAGGAAGCTGGTTGAGGAGCTGACACAGACAATTAACTCCTAGGATTTCCTTTCTTCATATATAAACTAAAGTGTGTGAAGGATAAAACTTGTGAATTTACATCTCTAAACTGAAAGTTATAGGACTATGAGAGGAAAGCTGGGAATAACAGCCAATGCTCCCCAAAGCCTCCATCCCAGGAACTTACAGGCTCTCTACCTGCTGCTGGCGCTGGGGGATGTTGATTGGCTCTTCTCGTCGATGTTGCGGAAACCCTGGTAGTTCATCTGGGGCCAGTTTCCTGACATAGACCGCTGGCACAAAGCCCTGGTGATCATCAGCTTCAACCTTCCACCAGTCCTAAAGGGAGGACAGATTCACACTCCTTCCTTAATTCTTCGAAAAATCACAAACCATAGAGGCTTCAATTCTCACAACAGTACCCAGGAACAGGAACAGCTGGCTGATAAGGACTAAGCATCACTCATAGGTGGTACATAATTTCCCCGCATTACAGAAAGGGCCGAGGAGGAGTTGCAGGAATTGCAGAGGTCAGCCCCTGGAATCAATGACTCTGATATCTGATGCCAGATGGGCATGGTGCTGAAAAGCAAGTGAGGGGCCACGTGGCTCCTCAGGAATCAGCTTGCCTTCTTGGTGGTGGGTTCTGTGTTTGACAGCAGTGTGTAAGAACTGATAACTCACATCCCACTTCCAAGGCACTAAAATATATCAATTTCTCTGAAATTCATTAATGCAAACTCTTCCAGTTCTCGAAGACTAGCTGCTCCAGAGTCCAGTTTCTTAGAGAAAATGCTGTGAAATGTGATACAGGCAAAGAGGAGGCAGCACTTCCCTTGGATTTTCTGATAAGAAAACATCTTGCCTCTCAAAAACATTCACTTATCTTTAATAATAGTAACAAAAATCAAAATTCTGCTCTTTTCTTATTATGATCTTTAGGAGAGTAGTTATATACAAATATGTATGTATGTATGTGTGTGTGTATGTATGTGTGTATGTTTTTCAAGACAGGGTTTCTCTGTGTAGCTTTGGAGCCCATCCTGGCACTCGCTCTAGAGACCAGGCTGGCCTCGAACTCATAGATATCAGGCTGCCTCTGCCTCCCAAGTGCTGGGACTAAAGACATGCACCACCAACGCCCGGCTAAAATATTTTTTATAAGGAAAACATATTGTAAAATTCCATTCATCGTTTTAACACTGGCTTTATAAGCATATAAGAATTCAAGTCATTGGAATATAAGTTCCTTCCTTCCTTCCTTCCTTCCTTCCGTCCTTCCTTCCTTCCTTCCTTCCTTCCTTTTTCCTTCTTCCTTTCTTCCCACTTAAATATGTTATGTCTCTATGTTGCTCAGGCTGATTTCAAACTCTTGTGCTCAAGAGATTCTTGTGCCTCAGCCTTCCAAGTGCCTGGGACCAAGGTGCCCATTGTCTTTCATCAGGTTTCTCCTAACCCTAAAGCAAGGATATGGGAAGAAAAGGACAATTTAATTCTGTAAATACATAAAAATATAAGGTTGTTCAACCTTTATATATCTTCAAGTTAACTCCCTAAGATTTTTTGATTCACTGTTTCATTCATGCTAAAATTAAGATTAGAATGCAAAAACCCAAAGTTATATAGATCTATCTTTCTGCTCTTGCACAGTACATTAAGAAAAATATTACTTAATAAATTATTTAAGAAGAAAATATTAAATGTTGGGCATTAAAACAACTATCTGAGTCAGGCAGTGGTGGCACCAACCTCTCATCCCAGGACTTTGGAGGCAGAAGCAGGTAGATCTTTGCGAGTTTGAGGACAGCCTGGTTTAGAGAGCAAGTTCTAGTACAGTCAAAGGTTATGAGAGAAACCTTGTCTTGAAAAAACAAACAAACCATCCCGCTACAAAAAAACCCAACCAAATAAACAAACAAGCAAGCAAACAAACTCTACCTATCTGGTAAAGTCAGGAGAGAGCTGTGGAAGACCCATGTTGTAGATGGTAAGAAAGTTCAAGAAAAATCACCTTGTTGATGGAACTGAGCAAAGTCAAGACATCATTCTTCTTCATGCTGACCTCTCTACGGCTTCGGGCCTCAAAGTCATATAAAGCTATGACCCTAGCTTCTAGACCAGCCTCATCCACTGGTGCTGCCTGCTGTTGCTGGGGAAAAAACAAACAAACCAGATGTCAGTTGCTCACTGGAAGTCTTTCCCTGTACAGTTCACAGTGGTGGGCAGTTCCCAGGACCTCCCAGGAGAGGATAGATGGAATTCTGATGTGACTGCTGGGTCTCACAGTGGTGATTGTCAGGGATGCTGCACTACTGAAACACCTATCAGAGAGCAGGAAGATTGAAAAATACAAACATAGTCACCAGTACATAGGCATTTTATCAGAAGCATGGAATATGCCAGGCTACTGCTTTTTTTAGTGGGAGGGGCAATATACTACTGCTTTTTAGTAGGAAAGACAATATTCTCCATGCAGATTCAAAAGGACACATACATCCACACTTTAGAAACCTCCTCGCCACATAATAATCAAAGCACCAAACATACAGAATAAAGAGAAAATATTAAGAGCAGCAAAGGAAAAAGGACAAGTAACATATAAAAGCAAACCCATCAGAATTATACCTGACTTTTCTATGGAAACTCTGAAAGCCAGAGGGTCCTGGACAGATATTCTACCTACACTAAGAGACCATGGATGCCAGCCCACACTACTATACCCAGAAAAGCTTTCAATCAATACAGATGGAGAAAACAAGATATTCCATGACAAAACCAGATGCAAACAATATATATCCACCAATTCAGCCCTACAGAAAGTTCTGGAAGCAAAACTACAACCCAAGGAAGTTAACTACAAACAGAAAAATATAGGCAGTAGATAATCCCCCTTTACCAACAGCCAAAAGGAAAAATGACAGATTTCACCACCATCACCACAAAAAAAAAAAAAAAGGAAAGAAAAAACAATGGTCATTAATATCCATCAGCATTAATGGTCTTAACTCCCATATAAAAAGACACAGATTAACAGAATGGATAAGAAGACAAAATCCTTCCTTCTGCTGCATACAAGAAACACACCTAAACTTCAAAGAAAGACGGTACCTAAGAATTAAAGATTGGGGAAAGATTTTCCAATCAAATGGACCCAAGAAATAAGTGGGGGTAGCAATCCTAAATCCAACAAATTGGACTTTAAACTAAAATCAATCAAAAGAGATGAAGGAAGTCACTTCATACTCATCACAGGAGAAATCTATCAGGATGAAGTCTCAATTCTGAACATTTATGCCCCAAATACAAAGGCATCCACGTTTGTAAAAGAAACATTACTAAAACTCTAATCATACATAAAGCTGCACACGATTATAGTGGGAGACTTCAACACCCCATTCTCACCACTGGGCAGGAACACCAGACAGAAACTTAACAAAGAAACAAAGGAACTAATAGAAGTTATGGTGCAATTGAACTTAACAGATACCTATAGAACATTCTATCCAAATACAAAATAATTTACCTTCTTCTCAGCACCACATGGAACCTTCTCTAAAATCGACCACATACTTGGCAACATAGCAAACCTCAACAGGTACAAAAAATTGAAATAAACTCCCGTATCTTATCAGAACTCCATGATTTAAATTTAGAATTCAACAACAAAATGAATTACAGAAAACCTACAAACTCATGGAAGTTAAGTAACACCCAATTGCACAATTCCTGGGTCGAGGAAGAAATAAAAAAAGAAATTAAATATTTCCTAGAATTCAATGAGAATGTGGACACAACATACCCAAACCTATGGGACACTATGAAAGCAGTGCTAAGAGGAAAGTTCATAGCACTAAGTGCCCACATGAAGAAACAGGAGAATAATCACACTAGAGAATTAACACAACTGAAAGCTTTAGAACACAAAGAAGCCAATACATCCCGGAGGAGGAGATGCCAGGAAATAATCAAATTGAGGGCTGAAATCAATAAAATGGAAACTAGGAGAACAATACAAAGAATCAATATAAAGAAGAGTTGGTTCTTCGAGAATATCAACAAGATGGACAAACCTTTATCCAAACTTACCAAACAGCAGACAGTGAACATGCAAATTAATAAAATCAGGAATGAAAAGGGGGACAAAACAACAGACACAGAGGAAATCCAGAGAATCATCAGGTCATACTTTGAAAACTTATATTCCTCAAAATTTGAAAATCTAAAGGAAATAGACAATTTTCTGGACAGATTTCACTTACCAAAATTAAATCAAGAACAGATAAGCATCTTAAATAGACCTATAACCCCTAATGAAATAGAAGCAGTCATCAGAAGTCTTCCAACCAAAAAAAGCCCAGGGCCAGATGGCTTCAGTGCAGAATTCTACCAGAAATTCTCAACAGAGCAATCTAAAATGGCTGAATGACACTTAAGAAAGTGCTCAACACTCTTAGCCATCAGGGAAATGCAAAACAAAACAACTCTGAGATACCATCTTATGCCTGTCAGAATGGCCAAAATCATAAACACTAATTCTGGAGAGGATGTGGAGAAAGGCGAACACTTCTCCACTGCTGGTGGGAGTGCCAACTTGTACAGCCACTTTGGAAATCAGTATGGTGACTCCTCAAGAAAATGGGAATCAGT